CCCCCCGACTGTTCTCAGACTGTTCATCCTCATCTCAGCCAAATAGAACAGTATCAGGTCCCAGGTCCCGCTGGGCTGGATCAGCCCGTGTAGCACCAGGAGCGAATTATGGTGCAGGGGAAGTGGTGGGCAGAGGGGAGGCAGGCAGCCCAGCACAACACAGCCCATTCGCTCACTCCCTCCGACTCGCTCCCTGCCTGTTGGCCTGGAACTTTTACTGCTAGTTGGCGCAGCTTCCAGTTCAGTGTCCAATGCCAGATGTAAGAGTCGGTGTCATGCTACTGCTATGCGGAGCCTCTGAGAATGAATTAGTATCCCATCACAAAAATATACAAGAGGGGACCAGCTCTTGGAACCTGAGCGCCCCCAGATCTTGTTATGCTGGAAGTAATCGACAGAGTGAAGAAGCTGAAGGGGGGGGGGGGGGGGGGGGGGGGGGGGGGGGGGGGGAGTTGTGTGTGTGTGCGTGCGCGCACTGTAGTAGGTGGGTGTGTGTTTGTTGGAAGGTGTTGCTGCAGGAACATATGGTTTCAGTGTATACATTTCAGATTTAAGGAATATCAGATGATTTATTATTTGTAATAAAGAAAATATAACGTATTTCTCTTAACCACCACAGACAAAATTCCCCATTGATAGGTTCTGAGTTCTACAACTTTCATGTATGTTGACGCTTACAGTTACCGACTTGGCTTACATGCATATTCATTTTTAGTTTGTTGCAGTTTGTAGGAAACAATGATTGTCACATGATTGCTGGAACATGATGCCGGTATCATGCATAGTACTTTATCACATTCATTTGATTTCCCATCGGCTGTTTGTGGTCAGACTTTGCTGTATAATCTGACTCCTGTGTGTGTGTGTGTGTGTGTGTGTGTATGTGTGTGTGTGTGTGTTTTCTGTTTTTTTTTTTTTCTTACTCTTGCATACTCTTAATATTAATTTTCCCCCATGTGAAGGTGTTTTTTTCTTTTTGCCAATTAACAAAGTGGAAAAAGCCTTGTAATATGTTTATGTGCCCATGATTCACCGTGGCTGCAAGTTGTTTGTTTGATTCCTTCTCTTTTAGGTAAGAGCCAATGTCTCATTAATGAATAGCCCTAATAGGTGAACGGTGCGGGACACTTGTGTGTCACTAACCAAAGCAACCCTTTTCAGTCAAGATCAGACGGCTAGCCTTTCCCGCCGTCTGAAATTCTGTGAAACTCTGTAAAAAATGTTAGCGGTTGGAAACACAGATGACTAACATGCTCGAACCAGCTGGTCACAGCACCGAAAGCTGTACAGTTTCAACAAGTATGTGAAGAATTGTGGAAATGTGTGTACGTGTGTGTCTCTCTCTGTATAACATATATGTGTATGAGTGTTTGTGTGTTTGTCCAATGGCGTATGAAAGTAAGTTTTTAGCTCTGTGGGAGAGCCTCAGAGTCCTTAGAGGCCCATTGAATGTAATGGAGCATCACAAATGTATCAGCCAGAGGCCACAGACTATCTGCCCATTATGAACCTCATGCGGCTCCCTTTATGCAACCCCAGCGACGTGACGGGGCCCCTTTTTAATCATCTTCCCACTTTTTAATATCTGTGTGAAGACGTTGAGTGTAGAAGTTAATGGAAGCGCATGGATAAAACAGCTTTTTCGTCTTGCAGAGCGTTTTTATATTGTGCTGCCACGACCGCTTGAACTGGTTTTAAAACATTTTGATGTTAATGTCACGCTCGTGGTGTTAAATTGAAACCATATGCAACACACATGTTCGATATGTGTTCCATTCTTTTATATTAAAGTAGGTAGGCCAGTGGGCCGCAGTGAGCGTGCACCATATTACCTGTGAGGAAGTGGTGAACAGACAGATCTAATATATCGGATAAGCTGCGACTGGAAAGGCTGCGAGCAGAGCCGCATTTGCTCAGTGGTCAGGTAAGCGGTCCACCTCTCCCTCTATAAACATGGAGGGACATCTACTGGCCTGTGCGGGCACTGCCTGCTCTCACTCCTCCCCTCCCACCGTCTCAATGTCACTCAGCTGCTCACTCACTTACACGCCCACTCCTAGCCGCCACTTGCTAGCTCAGACATACACCGCTGCCCAGAGGCCTTGGGCTCATGGAAACCAAACATGACCCTGACACATCCCATTACACAGCGCTTCTGAGCTCTGCTTGTGGACATGTCCGCGAGAAAGATTCCAGTCTGGCTGTGATCGCTGTCACGGCGATGCTGTGTGTCATGGTGCATACGTTTTGGCCAACCCACATCGCGCTCTGGGAATTTTTTCACTCCCCTCCTTTGGATTAATACTTCAAAGTCTCCTTAAGCCGCTCTTTTTTGATCACTTGATTGGTAATTGTGCTTTTATTTTGATTGCCTCGCTATTCGAACGTAGGCCTCGTCAGGCTGTGACGTGAAGCGAAAGAGCTTAACTTGTTGAACTGACACCTCAAAGGCTTCCACGGAGGGAAAACAAAAAGGGGGGAAAAAAGAGAAATGAGAGATAAAATCCAGCAGGGAGATTTAGGGGGGGAGAAGGAAGGGAGATAAAAAGCCATAACATGGGATTTCCAACTGCCAATTCACAAAGTGAAAGATTTAATTAAAATATGTCATAATTTTCACCGCCTTAGCCTCTGGGATTCCTGAGCTGTGACCTCACGGACAATTATTGTTTTCTCACCGAGGACGTGAGGCCGCGAGGAACGGGATTACACATTCTTGCGTATTGACATCAGCTTCCTCTCTCTTCCGACATGCGTGGAAACAGACGCGATGAGACTCGGAGGTTGGAGTCGGTGCATGGTGGCTTGGGGAACCTGTGAACCTCTCAAATAGTTTGCTTAGTGAGAGGCCAAAATTCTGCCAACATGCCAGTCCAGCCGAAGTTCTCTGTTGCTGACACGAGGGCCTGCCTGTTGAGTCTTCTATTTATCTTCAACCCTTTAGTTATTCTAGTATCCCTTTCGTCCAGACTTTGTCCCATATTTAGACCATTCGTCTGTCCAGGCAGTCCCCACTCAGACTCAGTCTCCCACCACCATCTACCTTACCCTCTCCCCCCGGTGTGAGGGCTGTGCTTCACAGTAGCCGGTACTCCAGTCAACCCCCAGGCGCTTTCCGTCTATGTGTCGCCACACAGTCACAGTCGACCCTTCCTAGCCTTCACCTGTACTGGCCAAGCCCGGATTTCGGCGATGGCTCGTAGCTACTCGGCCTCCCTTGTGGCCTCCATTTCAGTCTGTTGGCCGCTAAACAAACATGTGACCCAACCCCCCTCTGCTGCATGCAGTCTCTGTAGATGCAGCCTGTGCTGCTGGGTCCAGCTCAGACGGCCCTGACCACGGTGATCCAGCGGGCCCAGTCAAGGCTCTCCTCTGTCAGGATGCTGACTGACAGATGGTGCCCTCTGGCCTCCATTGGAACGGGGCTTCCTCTCTGTCGTTCATGCACACACCTGCATGCTGGAGCATTGGCAGCACTGCTGTGAAACTGCCTTGGTCTCTGCTGTTTTTGTGTGCTCAGTTGACAGCTGAAACATCTTGCTTATATTAAACCACCCCGAGGGCATGGACAAATTAATTTAGCATGCTGCATTGGGCACAAACACTTCCATTATGAACAGTTTTCTCTCTATTTGGCCAGTTTCTTCTCACAACCTGCCTCTTTCAATTGACCTATCTGTTGGAGTAATTGGATGATTATTATATTAAGTCTACTTTGTGTGAACCAGTTCTTTGTAGGTTTGGAAGTGTCTGAATATTCAGCTGAAGAATCTTGAATAGGCTCCTTATAGGAGTAAAAGTAGACCTGCAGATACTAACCCTGACACTATTTAAAGTAAAATCATCTGCATATCTTTGCACTTTAACTAAATATGCCTTCCTTCCCCTTCAGGGATGGATGTGGATATGGAGACCCAGGGGGCTAGCCAGTACTCCAGCCAAGACCTCTACATGCAGTCTGGGGGTCTTGAAGACGGAGACCAGGGTTGGATGTCCTGGGCGTGGTCCTTCGTCCCAGACATCGTAGGCGAAGAGGAGGGATATGAGGAAGGCCTCTACGAGCAGAGAGAGGCAGGAGGCATCCCAACCAACCCACAGCAACACACACCCAAAGACCCCATCGTCTCTATCGGCTTCTACTGCACCAAAGCTTCTGTTACCTTCAAGGTAAATCAGCTGATTAAAAAAGAAAAAGATGTGCTTCATCATCAAAGATTCCATTACCAGATCAAGGGCTACAGTGCAGGCCAGCGTACATTGACTTAATGTCAGATGTCAAAATGAAATGAAAGAAATACTATAATATTTTCCTCAGTTTTAAAAGTGTTTAAAAGTATTCTGCATCACATTGCCAGTAAGTACATGTGGTATGAATATGATTTACCATTAAGATGTACTTTTAAAATAACAAAAAGTATTTCAGATAAACTAATATCGTATACAGTGGCAACAAAAATATAAAACATAAGCGCATGTATTTATTGTAAAGATAAAAATGTAAGCACCTTCAATGTGTGGACTACACGAAACGTAGACCCAATTTGTGTCGGGGGGCTTTCATGGTAAGTCAGGAAATTCTTGGGGAAATTCTGCATATAATGATATTGAATGTTGATGTAGAGTTTCCTGGTTTAAGATATCATTGTGTTAACAATTACAGTTGTTGTTTTTTTTTCCCTGGCCGCCATTATTATACTCCCTCTCCCCACCCCGTCGCTGCGGCTTATATTTTGTGGTGATTTTCAGTTTGAGTCTCAAAGAGGGGCTTGATCTTCAGGAAGTCACAGTCCTCTTTGTCTCGGTGTGTGGTATAAGGGGAGGGTAGTGTAACCGCTAACTGACGTCTCGGGTCACGTTAATGTTTTAAACATCATACGTGGTGTGATGACTATTCAGAAATGGATCCCAAACTTTAATCCTGCCTGCTCACTCAGAATAGTTTGAATTCATCTGCGTTTCCCCTCAGGTTCAGGCACTTCGGATCACATTACTGTGTGTGTGTGTGTGTGTGTGTGTGTGTGTGTGTGTGTGTGTGTGT